CCATATGTATGTGTGTGTATGCATACATATATGTATATTTTCCCCTTCTTATCTTATTTTCTTTAGGGAGAAAGCAGTCTCGATGTGTCTGGAATAAGGTATATGTAGATACTTGTCAGCTGGCTCTTAGATCTAGGACTGAAATCTTTGCTTGAGCCAGGAGAGACTCAACTAGAGATAGATTGCTCTTAGAAACATCATCCACTCAGCAGTTACATTGGAAAGAAACATTGTTCACTGTAAAGGCAACTGAAAAAGAAAAAAATGGCCTGTGGTGGTTGCTGAATCAGTTTGCTGAAACTTCACAGTTGTCTCTGCAACCTGGATTCTTGTTGGCATTAAGGAACATGTGGGTGAATTCCAGACATGGAAGAATGTCAGCTTGGCTTTTTCTATGAAGATAAAGTCTTCTAGCTGCTTTCAGTCCTGAGAAAGTAGCTTAAAAGGAAAACAGAATTACACCTGGTATTTCTTTCCCTCCCTCCCTCCCTCCCTCCCTCCTTGCTTCCCTCCCTCCTTCCTTCCCTCTATCCCTCCTGCCTCCCTCCTTCCCTCTCTCCTCCTCCCCTCTTTCTCTCTTCCTTTCAAATCTTTCTCCTCTTTGGAGGATGTTTAAGGTTCTTGTATTTACTGCTAACTTTTCACTGTGACATTTACCTCTCTCTTCCTTCTCACCTCTTATCTTGGTCATTCATCATAACAGTCTCATGGTGTCCGGCCTCAACAGGGTGCCCGTGATGCTCAGTAACCATCTGTTCTCTCTTTTAGGATAAGGCATGTCTCTAGGGCCATCTGGGGAAAGGTGGGCTATCTGCTTCCTCCTCAGCCCCAAACATGTGATTGTTTTTCTAGTACACCGCCATTTTGGTAACTTACAACTTTAAAGTTGTAGAAGTAGAATTTATATACCTGTGCACACAGTCTTCAGTGATAACTGTCCATGGAGTGAATACATGAACCTTGGAGAGAGTACGGGATTATGTTTCTTCGCAGACTTCACTACTTGGAGTCAATTCCTAGCTTTGCCTTCACAGCTCTGTGACCTTAGCAAACAGCTTAACTTCTCTGGGTGTTTTTCTTTTTCTTTTCCTTTCTTCTCTTCTTTTCTCTTTTCTTTTGTTCCTTTCCTTTTTTTTTTTTTTTTTAAGATTTATTTGTTTATTTATTTGAGAGGGAGGAGGGGAAGAGGGAGAGAGAGAGAGAGAGAGAGAGAGAGAGAGAGAATCTCAAGCAGACTCCCTGTTGAGTGCAGAGCTTGACTCAGGGCTTGATCCCATGACCCTGATATCATGACCTGAGCCGAAATCAAGAGTTGGCCGCTTAAAACCGGCTGAGCCACCCAGGGGCCCTTCAGTGTTTTGCTTATATGTATACTATGGATCATAATGGTACCTACTTCATAGCATTGTCATGTGGATTCATAATTTACTATACAAATATTTAGACAGTTTCTGGCATATAGTAAGCTTATAGGTGTTAGCTCTTGTTATAGGATTGGTTTTCATTCTCATTCTGGAAGGAATGAAGATGAAATTCATAATAATAGGATGAATCTATATTGAAATGATGCAAAACACTAAAACATCCCAAGGAGAAACTTAGGAAAGGGGTCCAACCCCAAGGAATTAATGAAAGTATCCCACACCCAGAATGAGAGTGGCCTGTGAGCAGAACAGTAAACATCATGTTGCATGTCCACACTCCCGCCAGTTCGTTGTGATGACTTGAAGTGACGGGTTGAGAAGTGATGAGGCCAGTGTGAACTGAAGGGAGGAGCAAGATGGGACTGGGCGAGCTGGCCAAGTGTGCAGGAACTGTGTGTGCCGCATTGCCTTCCCCACCTAGTGCGAGGTCATGCACCCAGGCCTGCTGATTGAGTGAAATTCACGTCTTCTGGAAGAATCCAAAGAGACCCAGAAAGAGAGACAGAGAGAGAGAATTTATCTCTCCATTTTGGCCAGGACATAGGTCTACATGCTTCTATCAGCTGAGGCCAAATGTTCAGCCAAGCACAGTCAGGAAATCCTGCCAGTGCTAGCCAAGTAGTCCTTTATCCTGTGAGGTGGAACCAGTTTACTAAAATTTCCCCTTCCTTGGCAAAGGCCTCTGTTAAATGCCCCTGGACAATGCGTATGCAATGCCCTTTATTATGGGCTTTTAATTTTTAATGCTAAGTAGCAATTTTTATCATCCATAAAGAATTTTTGCATCACTACCTTCAAATTCCCAAAGGGTCTTATCTAATTCTACGATTTATTCTCCCTGACAGTAATTCACTAATCAGTGGAATCTGTGAGTCCTATGAATCATCTTAGCAATGGTTAGTACTGACATCACATATCAAATGTGGGGTTGGGATACTTGAAGGAGCCTGAAAAGTAAAGCATTTTATATACATTATCTCGCTAAGATTTATAAGCTTCCTATAGGGTGTATTTCATCAGTATTTTACACATGAGAAAGTTGAAATTTAGAGATACAAGTAACTTTTCCCAGATTAACCTCCTAGGGGTGGTTTGGGCTGGAATTTCAGGCATATCTGACTCCAGAATCAGAGCTGCTCAGTGTGTGTGTGTGTGTGTGTGTGTGTGTGTGTGTCCCTGATTAGTTTGTAGGCACTCCTTCTCTTGATGTGAGGGAATGGTTTAGTACCCTTGTGAAATTTAGTTCCATGGAAAAGAGAGGCGATCAGCAATCAGAATGGCCAGGTTATAATTAGCTGGCAATCAGACACTGTGAAGGACCTGAGTGCTAAGGCTGGGAGAGACCAACTCTTCACCTGGGTCGCACTGGACAAGCAGGTGCTACTGCTCCTGGTTTAAACAGGGTGCCCCTTGGGGCGCCTGGGTGGCTCAGTCGTTAAGCGTCTGCCTTCGGCTCAGGTCATGATTCCAGGGTCCTGGGATCGAGTCCCACAGCGGGCTCCCTGCTCAGCGGGAAGCCTGCTTCTCCCTCCTCCACTCCCCCTGCTTGTGTTCCCTCTCTCGCTGTGTCTCTCTCTGTCAAATAAATAAATAAAATCTTTTAAAAAAAATAAATAAACAGGGTGCCCCTTGGACCAGCAAGGCCTTCCTCCCAGAACTGGGTATCAGATTTTCGCAGTAGCAGGCAAGGAGGACTGGGCAGCGGTGTGTTGGAAATAAGACAGCTTCAAGGAGAAGGAGGAACCCAGATAGGACTGGGATTAGATGGTCTCTTGACGTTGGTAAATTCTATATTACAGATTAAGGTGTTCATAAAATAACTGAAGAAACCTACCAGGTTCTCAGTTTCTATAAGACTTCAAACTGTTAGGCAAATGAACACGGAGCCAAACCTGAGAGAGTTCCATCGGGGTGTACTGGGTACCAGGCGGATGGCAGATGTACGGTTGAACAACGATGGAAAATACGAACCTACTTCTGCAGCGAAGAACGCTCCCTCTCAGCTGCAAATGATCGTGACTGAGATGTAGGAAAGGATATAAAACTGGGTGGGATCATTTTTGAAATCTGATAGGTCTTAGAATATTTTCTCATGCTTTGACCATATCATTATTCTTTTCCTCAAAAACAAGTTTTGATAAGAGTATCTGTGAACATGGGCATGAAAATGAAAACATGAACTTTTAATTTCCGCTTGCGTGCATGAGGGTCCCAAGAAAATGGAGCCTGAGAGTAAATGTCAGTCATGAGCAGAACTGTTCTCCTGTCCTCGACCCCCTGAAAAGCCCAGGACTCTGTGTCTCTCCCTTGAGATTGTATATAGGCAAGTTGTTTAATGAGATATTTCATGGTCTAATGAGATATTCCTTGGGGTCCAGCAGGACTCCAGTGCTTATCATCCTAGGAGGCCACAGAAAAAATAAATACATTTATATTTAATGAAAATGAGGGGAGATAGGAGAAAGGCTGGCATCAGCTAACTTTGTTCTCTGAAGTCAAAAATACACGAACATATCCAGAATGTCAGAAATGGAGTCAACTGTCTCGGCTCTCCAGACACATCAAGGTCATGAACAATGACAATGGTGATGGGGAGAGGTTGTCCAACCTGCAAAGAGACTGAAGACACATAATAATCAAATGCATCATGTGAACTTTGAGTGGCCCTTGGATCAGGAAAAAGATAGGGTATACAAGATATTTTGGAGGATGAATGAAAATAATTGAAATATGGGCTCTATATTACATAATGTTACTGACCCGTTAAATTTCTTAAGTGTGACATTGATATTGTGGCTACAGAGAAGAAGGTCCTTTTTCTTGGGACAATAAATGCTAAAGTATTTCAAGGTGAGAGCTAATGATGACTGCAAATTGCTGTCAGTCATTCTAATTGAAATACAGAGATAAAGACAATAGGAAAATGTTATCAGTTGGTGAATCGAAAGAATGGGAATACAGGCATTTCATGATGCCTTTTTTTTTTTTTTTTGGCTTTTTGGAAGGTTTGATAATTTTCCAAAAACAAAAATTTGGGAAAACGTGATCCCAATCTCTTTTCTGGAATGCCCTTTGCAGAACTCATCATACAGATCACAAATAATCACCTTCTGAGTGAGCTGCATGTGCAGATGTCTTCTTGAGATATGTTTTACTGTTTCTCTCTCTCTCTCTCTTTTTTTAATCATTGCAGAAAATTCTATTGGACAGTGCTGACATTGCTCAGATTCTTCTTCTCCCATCCTCCTCCTCTTCTTCCTCCTCCTCCTCCTTCTTCTTCTCCTTCTTTTCCTCTTTCCTTTTCTTCTTTTAGTGTTTTTTTTTTTTTTTTTTTTAGTTCTATTTTGTTTTTCCCACAATGATGCCTTGGTTGTGTACACATCCAGCAGTCTGGAAATACAGTTATAATTTTTAAAAAAACTGAATTCTATTTTACATAAATGTCACTTATTATATGAATCACATTGGGCACGTTACTTTACATTTTGGAGGATATTAACATCCTCATCCCCAAAGTGCCCATTTGTGAAAACTTGATCTTCAAAAGTTTCCTCTCTTGGGTGATTGGTGTTTCAGGTGCCTAGTGCTCATGCTTTCTCCGGGAGCGGCCACAAGATGGCAGTGTTTCAGAACATTGTTTTGCTTGGAAGGAGGATGTGCGCGTGGCTGAAGGACTGAAGAAGGGGCATCAATGGCAGAAGGGTGGCAGGACTGATGCCGTGTTCATCCAAAAGGTTTGAAACAAAGACTTGGAAGGTGTATTGGGGAAATGACGATATGAGTTGTCCTTTGCTTAGAGCTCAACCAGTTTATATAGCAGTAATCCCATGGACTCCACAGTGTTTTCTTGTCTGCCCCAAACACTTTCTATCATTTTCTTCTAGATTTTTATGTTGTCATGTATTAATGCAAGGACTTCACCTAGCATTTCTCTCTGTTAACCTGTGACCCATTACATTTACTTCTTAAGCAACGTAGAGTACCTTCAGCTCTCTATTTGTGGCATGGATTCTAAACACAACTACCAGGGAGTATGCTGCCTTCCTCTGGGTATCCATAGAATTATGGATGTGTGAGTGTTTCCATGACATTTCCATTAACCTTCAAAATCAAAGAAGAAAACATTTCTCACTTACAATGTTTATATAGGATATGATCTTTAAAAGGCTCAATCTTTAGTATCAGGCTTTCATAGTCCATGAGGAGCTAATGATTGAAATGTATGATTCTTATGTGCCTGTGACAAAGCAAACCAAGGTCATTTTTGTCCAAGGTCCAGTGCAGACTCAGTAAATTCCAGAGGATCCTAATAGAAATAAAACTCGATGGCTCTGCAGTTACCTTTGGATGAGCTTCAAACTGAGGCTATAGATCATTGTAAATGTCTAGGAGAGTTCAGTGTTGGTGAAGCCAAACCCAAAGCTTATGAAGAGGTGAGGAAGCTGCCATGGGACCCTTTCTGCGAGTGTGGTCTCCTTGCTCCATAAATCTGCTTGTAGGCTTGTCTCTGGTGTGGGCTCTTTGGCAGGGGCCCTTCTCAAATTTGCAGGGTAAGCTCAATGTCTGGAGAAGCATCACTTGGATTCTTTTCCTCTGACAACCCCCTGATAAATTCTCCCCCCAAATGGACAGACATCTGAACAACTATGCTTAATGGATTATCTTGTTAGAACAACATAACTTTTGAATTATCCAAGGCTGAATGAAGTGCAAACGTTTGTCTTTCACAAGATGAACCCACAAACTGAATTAAGCCCCAGCTCGTTTATCACGTCAACTGACAAAACTGACTTCCCACTCTGTAAGGCTACAGAGATGTGCATAGACAAGCTCATGCCTGGACTGGTATCCATGAACCACTGTAGTCTGCCTTAGAGATTAGGGTATCTTTTTCTATTTCAAAATTATAGATTACCTTTGGTTTCTGGTTTTCTTTCTTTCTTTTTTAAGATTTTATGTATTTATTTGAGAGAGAGAATGAAAGAGAGCACATGAGAGGGGGAAGGGTCAGAGGGAGAAGCAGACTCCCTGCTGAGCAGGGAGCCCGATGCGGGACTCGATCCCGGGACTCCAGGATCATGACCTGAGCCGAACGCAGTCGCTTAACCAACTGAGCCACCCAGGCGCCCGGTTTCTGGTTTTCTAAAATCTCTGTGGATTAATTGTGGACTGTGGATGAATTATCATGGAGTCTATTATTTTGCTTATAAATACTCAAAGTCAGTCCTCTGCTTCCAGCATCAAGATACACTATTGTTATCAAGACTTGGTTCCCAAGATTTGCATTGATTATAGGTTAGTTGTTCCCCAAGTTGGAACTCACGTTATCCTTCTGTAAAGTGATGATTGGAACTCAAGTTTTCTAACAGATCTTATCTTTTCCAATTGCTTTGTAAAACTTTAAGGTCAGGAAAGGACCAGAATAATTTAGAAATGCTTTAAGGCAGCTATTTCTTGAGCAGTTGCTTGAAGTTACCTCCATTTCTAACATCTGTTCCTTTTGATATGTTAGCAAATTGCAATGTTGTGGATCATTAGGGTAGAAACTGTCCAGGGCATCCCATTTTGCCTTTAAAGTGGCTCCAGAGTCTGCAAGATTTCAGGATTCCAACATTTAACAATTGCTGGTGATAACTATGCTTTCAGAAAGAAAGATTTCAAGATAATAGCTTAGGTGAGAAAACATCCTTTATTATGATTCAAAGAATGTAAAATACAAGATAGTGCAAATATTAGATGAATCAGAGTTGTCTCCTTTGGAGTGTATATTCAACACGAATTCTCTCAACAGAGATTAGTTCCATGTTGGAGATTGGATGATAACTACCTGACTACTTCTTTTAATCCATAGGTTCCCGTGCTGTCAGATATGTTACCATCTTCTTCTCTTTTTAGGATGTGAGCTATTTCAGATTTTAGCTCATGGAACAGCTCCACAGGACATCTTCTGTTTCCTTCTTTTACTCCTCAAAGCTAAAGAAGCAAATCCTTGGCACATTCGCCGATCAGAAACGTCACAGAGTGTGATTTGGGAAAATTTTTGGTGACCTGCCCCTGTACACCTATGTCTCCCTTCACAACTCTGAGAATACAAGAGGGAATGGGACGATGTGTGTAATACAGTGACAGAGGGCCAGAGAAACATCATGGTTGAGACAATTTTTCCAAATGGGGTTACTGAGACTATTTCTGGATGACAGTTCATTTGATCCAGACCTTGAAGGGGATGCAGTATTTTAAAAGGCACTTTGGGCAAAGGGGACTGTTAGTCAGGAGAGGTGGTGAGAGCCTCAATGAGGAGATGGGAAAAATGGGTGGCAGCTTTTGATTGATGTGGGGTAGCCGGATGCACATGGATTAAAGTGTGCATGTGTCTGGAGCCTAGAATAGAAGACAAACCTGGAAAGCTCGGGGGTAGAGCAAGGGTGGCCCAGAATGCTACTGAGGGGTTTGGTTTCCAATCTGTAGGCAATAAGAGCCACGTCAACATTGGAAAAGTGAGTGCCAGAAGGCTACTTGAAGAGTCAGTAATAAGGCGCCTGCTGTGTGCGGACACTGCCCTACTACTCCTCAGGTATGAATACACTGCATTTTCTCACTATGCCTGTGGAATAAAGATAATCACCCCCATTTAGGTGGAAACAGAGAATTTGAGAAATTTCCTCAAGGTCACATAGCTGCAAGTCGCAGAGCCAGATCCACACCCAAGTAGCCTGGCTGCTGAGCCTGGGCTCTACACAGGTACACTCTTGGGGGCAGGATTGGCATGGAGAGAGCGCGGAGGGAAGGGAAAGGTGTTGCAATAACAGCAAGAGACAAGAGGGACTTGGACTAACACAGGGGAGTGCAAGGGGCAGAGGTAGAGATGAGGGGCAGATGCAAAAGACCTTGTAGAGGGAACCTTGGCCTTGGTCGAGAAATGAAAGTCAACTATCCACTCGTCATGGCTTCAGATCTCTGCACTGTCCTTTTAACCCCTCCCCCAACACTACTCATCTGTGCTTTACTGCTTCACTCCATGCTCCAGGTAAGATCTCACCTGGGCAGAGTCAAGGAAGGACGCTACTTTCTAACCACGTGACATCTGAGTTGATGGATCACTGTTCTGGAAGCTGCATCACCTTGTTTGATAAAGTTTCTAAGTCTGTTCCCATGATGACTGTGACATGTCTAGAGAGACACACTTGTCATTCTTTTTTTTTTTTTTTAAAGATTTTATTTATTTATTCATGAGAGAGAGAGAGAGGCAGAATGAGAAGCAGGCTCCCAAGGAGCAGGGGGCCCGATGCGGGACTCGATCCCAGGACTCTGAGATCATGACCTGAGCCGAAGGCAGACGCTTAACCATCTGAGCCACCCAGGCGCCCCACTTGTCATTCTTTTTAAGCCAAAAGACCGACCTTATATTTATCCCAGACATTTGATGTTTCTAGAAAAGACCTAAAGACCAGAGTAGAATGAAAATGGCATCTCATTCAGTTTGGGAACTTTCTACATCAACTTTGGACTATCAATTTGCAATATGTGGTTTATTAATCACTAAGAGCAATCCATCTTGTTTCCCTGCCAAGTCTGGCTTTCATGGGACACTTGGCTAGAAAAGGCCTCTCTCAAGCTAGAAATGATTATTACAGAGCTTCTTGCTGAGAATGTTGAAGCATGATGTGTGGTGTCTCAATTTATCAAATTTGCCTTATTAAGGGAATTGATATTATCATAACAACATTGATGATGGCATATCCTGGATTTATAAAGGACTTTCTACTACTAACTCATTGGGAACCACCAGAGGAAGACAGGAAAGCCAATAATTTAAATAAATTTGACACAAGGAATTTCTATACTTATCTCGAGTCAACCATGTAAAAAAAATAGAAGATGCCATGATATTAATATAGTTATTGCACAATGAGCTAAAAAGGAGCCGTAGCTCACCAGGCATGTAAAAGCAATAGTCTAAGAAGAATGGTTTTAAGAATGTCTGGCTGGGAACCCTGTCATGGAAAACTGAGAAGAAACCATAGGTTTGGGGTTTGTGGCATATGGCACTAGAGTGGCCTCCTTGGGGTTGATTCTAGTATGAAGAGAATTAATTTTTATTTAGTGTCCATTGACAGCCATGCTTATTTCAATAGTGTGAAACCTAACCATGCCCTAAGAGTTGGTATCTTCACCTCAGAGAGACAGAGCAATTGTCTGTAATCCCACAAAACTGGCAAATGATGGAGCGAAGGGTCTTATGAAAAGACTTCTTGGGGGTTGCTACAGCCGGAGCTGGGCGGTGGCGGTGGCGGGTGCTGGGGGAGGCATCTCGTGGAACCAGGGGCGGTGGCGCAATGGAGGGACTGGGAGAAAATGGAAGTGTCCAAGTGGGAGAATTGTTACCTTGCAAGATTTGTGGAAGAACGTTCTTTCCAGTGGCATTAAAAAAACATGGACCCATTTGCCAGAAAACTGCCAGTAAAAAACGGAAGACTTTTGATTCAAGCAGACAGAGAGCTGAAGGAACTGATATTCCAACAGTAAAGCCTCTTAAACCTAGGCCTGAACCACCAAAGAAACCATCTAATTGGAGAAGAAAACATGAAGAATTCATTGCCACCATAAGAGCAGCTAAAGGCCTTGATCAGGCACTTAAAGAGGGTGGAAAACTTCCTCCTCCTCCTCCACCTTCTTATGATCCTGATTATATTCAGTGTCCATATTGCCAGAGGAGATTTAATGAAAATGCAGCTGGTAGACATATTAATTTCTGTAAAGAACAGGCAGCACGTATTAGGTAATAAAGGCAAATTTTCTACTGATACCAAAGGAAAGGTGACTTCTCGGACACAGTATAAGCCGCCTGCACTTAAAAAGTCAAATTCTTCTGGAACTGCACCATCAGGATCTTCACGATTACCACAACCAAGTGGCACTAGCAAAACTGTTGTAGGTGTGCCTTCAGGTAAAGTGTCTTCAGTTAGGAAGTTGGGAAACAAACTTCAGACCTTATCTCCCTCCCATAAAGGGATAGCAGCCCCTCATGTAGGAACTAACATCAAACCTCGAAATTCCACACCACCTAGTTTGGCACGAAATCCTTCCTCAGGTGTTCTTACAAACAAAAGAAAAACATATACTGAGAGCTACATAGCCAGGCCAGATGGAGACTATATATCTTCACTTAATGGCGGAAACGTTAAAGGCATGGAAGGAAATTCAACAGGACACTTACCAAAATTCTGCCGTGAGTGTGGGACTAAATACCCTGTAGAATGGGCAAAGTTTTGTTGTGAATGTGGCATTCGAAGAATGGTTCTGTGAATAGACCCCAAAAGAAAAAGCTAAGTCCAGAATCTTATGACTGTTGCACCTTGGACAGCTAGACATTTCCTTTAGTGATTTTATGCTAAAATTATTCGAAATACTTTTTTCAGCAATTTTTGGAGCATAATTCTTTGGCTGTGTAATGTGTGTGTGTATATAAATGTGTACATATACTGTATATAATAAATACCTGATACCCCCCCTCCCCCCAAAAACGACTTCTTGAAAGATCTTGCATCCTTACAAACTGTAAAGGATCTATTTAGGAACCTCTTTAAGGGATCTTGTATCCTGACAAATTATTTAAGGATTCTTAATAATATTAAGCATAATTACAGCTAAATTTTGAGCCCTTGCTTTAAGGTAGGCCCTGCACTAAGGGCTTGGTAAGCATTAAAAGGCTGAAGGTGAATTGTTAATTACTACAGTGGCTAAGATAGGTGTTTTTATTGTTTGCATTTTACAGATGAAGAACTTACGTAGCAGAGAGACTAGACAGCCTGCCCCAGGACATGTAGGCAGTAAAGTGGGAATCAGACACAAAAGTGGTGGATAACATCAGCCGTGAGGCTATCTTTCCTCCTAATCTTGATCCCTTTGGTTATTCATCCATGAAAGTCAAATTTTTAAAAAATTGATAATTAAAGAACTGAAGAGTAAGAAATTCCACCGGCTAAGCAAAATTTTCCCACAATGGACTTCTTTTCCTCACTGTGTCAATTGTAAAAGAAATGAGTCTGATTTTTTTCGGAGGGGGCTGCTCCTCTTCATGAAAGGGTAGAGGAGTGAACTCTAGAACATTATTTATTTTCGTAGTAGCTTCAATAGTATCAATCCTCAGCAAGGTGGTTGACGTAGGACTGGAGGTGACATTGACCAGCTCGTAGGAAACATAACGTTCTCACTTCTTTCCTATCCTCTCCTTTGCACTGACTTATCCTTTAAGCTGTGTACTGGGCAAGGCTCATTCAATGATGAGACAGAATCAAGAGCTGATGGGATTCAGTAGAGAGACAAGCTGTTCTCCTCAGCTGTCCTCTTAAAGGAACAACAGCCCTTTCACAGCAGAAGAAAGAGTTCTTTCTTCAGAGAGCTGTTACAGTGCGTAAGTGTTCTTGAGTTCAAGTGGGCTGTCTCATTAGGGGTGTGTTTCTGTATATACACATAGTGATGTAGGAGTCCTTTCAAAATGGAAAAGTAACTTGAACTTGCAATGAACTGAAACAATAAAGTAAACTGATGTAAACAATATTAACCTATTGACTTTTTTTTTAAGGAAGAACAGAATGACGATCTCTTCAAGTTCATATTTTTCACTGAAAAATGCCTCAGGATTAATCACAGACATATCACCAAGGTCTTTACAAGCACAGTTTTCAACTTGGCTGGATTAGATTTGGTCTTTTTCTCATTGTCTCTACCATTTCAAAGAACACCATATATTTTAGCTTTTGTGAAAACTCCCTTTAATAAAAACAAGAGTAATAATTAACAGTCTCAGTAGATCTGTTGCCAAGAGTCCCTGTGGCTCTTTCCTGCTTATATATCCCCAGGAATAGGCGTCACATACAAACGTGTCCTTTCAACACATTTTCTGTTTTCTCTCCTTCAAGTACCTTATCATTGGTTCAGGATTATTAATGTCCAATGGCAAGGTTTAATTTTTTTCATTATTATAATAGAAGATCAATGGATCAAATATGTCTGTTAAAGGTGAAACATACTTTTGAATAAGAGCCATTTTTTAAAAAGATTTATTTTTTTTTTGAGAGAGAGAGAGAGAGAAAGTGAGAGTGTAGGGAGGGGCAGAGAGAGAGGGAAGGAGACAATCTCAAGCAGACTCCCTGCTGAGCAAGGAGCCTGACGCGGGGCTCGATCCCAGGACCTTGAGATGATGACCTGAGCTGAAACCAAGAGTTGGACACTTAACTGACTGAGCCACCCAGGTGCCCTGAGTAAGAGGCATTTTAATGGGATACTTTACATCAGAAGTTTTGTTATCACTTTGGTCTTAAGATGGCTGGATCTGTGTGTGTGTGTGTGTGTGTGTGTATGCACATGCATGTGCAGGCATAAGTGTGCATGAATGTTGTGTTTCAGAAAGTACCTGACCACCCACAATACAATATTTATGGAGGCCCTCACTTTCCCGGTTGCACGGGCATGATTTGTACATGACAGTGAGGGCCCCCTTAAAATACCGGCCCCCTGTGTCTCTCTTACCATACCCTAGTCCTGCCCTTGCTGTGGATTCTCTGAAGAAAGGGGAGCAGGGTGGAAGAAATGCTGGCTTAGTGGTCTGTCCCCTGGTGTATAGTGAGGCCTGTGACACACCCCCGGGTGAGGTCTGTGAGACCCGGTAGATGTGGCAGGGCACTCACCTCTCCCAAGATACTGAAAATGAAAGAAGCCAAAGCAGAGCTGCAAAATTTGTGGTGAGTTTAAAATGCTTGTCATTTAACTCACCAGGGCTTCAAATATACCCCCAAAATACAATGTATTATAATTGTTTTTCAAAAGTAATTGTATGATTTATAAAAATATGAATTCATCGCACACTCTAAATGGTACAGTT